AATATATATATATATTTGATTGAACTTACATTTCATTTCAGTTACAAGCTGATTAGTGGTATCAAACCAATTTCTGTAAACACCTATGGACTGAGATAATTGGTCTCTCTCCCTTGTAAGTGTTGCCATCTGTTGCTGCTTCTTGAAATCTACAGAAATAAATATATACACTTTTAGAAGAAAATACAGTAACATACTTAGTTGGTTTAAACATTTAAACATCACCAAAAATCTACTAAGCTATTGCAGAGTTCTGAAGAAGTAATGGACCTACAAATAGTTGGTTTTAAGGAAAAGCAAGCATTTTAGAGTAACTGAAACGTACCGTTGTAAAACATAAATGACAGACGGTATGGTTCCAAAGGTTTTTTCAAAGCTGGCAGATCTGGCTCAAATACAAGAATATATTCAGTGCTATCTCTTCCAGGACTGTTTTCAGCCAGCACTAGATTCTAATAAAATAAACATACAGAAGTTTATATTCACACTTGAAGTAACACACAAAATAAAATGAACATTCTTCAAATACTAAATCTTATAAATTACCTAATTCATTATGTTTATACAATATTACCACAGTTTTAAGTATTGGCTTGAAAATGCCTTTTATACATAATAGAGAAGTAAAATACAAACATTTAGTAGTAACTATTTTATTATCTAAGAATTAAGATTGTCATTTTACCTGTTTAAAGAGGCATACTGTTTTTGGCTATATATTTTACTTAAGAGATATATGCTCATAAAAAATATTCTCTGCACTGTCCCATAAGCAAGATTTCCTTGGATGTACTTCATTCAGAATGTGAATAAATGCAAAATGGAACTCTAAAAATAAAGACCCAATGCATAAACACAGAGAAGGAAAAACAAACTATTCCCAGTGCTGAGTTAAAGTTACTGCTGTTACCATGGAAGTAGACAGCAGGTCCCAAATGAATCAACAATATATATCCAAATACTACCACGAACATCCCATTTCTTATCAATTTCTTATTGAAAGGACAAATGAAATCCTTCGCCTTTCTTTACAAACACAGGAAATATTATAAAACCATAAAGAATGGTAAACAGAAATAAAATTAGTATACGTAACATTTAAAGGTGCTGTTACTTTGGGAAAGATATCATGCATAAAATGAATAATGCTGATAATAAAACTCATACTGTTTCCACCTTTAACATGTAGAAATTGCTACTCAACTGGCCAAATCAAGAGAGAGATGGTTGCAGCCTAAAAGAAGAGATAGATATATAACCTTCAAAGATAGTCTTCATGGCTTTCAAAAATATTGCAGCTACATATTTAATCAGGCGAAGTCTGTAGTGGAAATCTCTTTTCCCTAGATAATGTATAGTAATAAAAATCTAAACATTTTGCTTCCTTAAACAAGTTTAGTATTCCTGAACCTCACTGTAAGGGTAAACATGTCAGATTATCAGCTTCATTACACCGGTGCTAATTGCACACAATTGTACTTATAAACAAGATGGAACAATTTCAAGACACTTCAAAAACCACTAGTGTGTCCCCTTCCCATAGTCATAGGAAAAGTAAATTGCACCACAACCAATAAATCCTTTCCAAACGAGAACTCAGTATACACTACACAACTGAAAACTGCTTGAAGAGGGGAGGAGATATGGGATTCACTGAAACTGAATTACTCCTGACAGAAGACGAGCGAGCACAAGTTACTGTCAAAAGGAGTAGGATCTCATCAGATCACAGTAATGAGAAAGCAGAAGAACACAACTCACCCAGCCCTCCAAAAAAACAGGAATATATAAGTAGAAAGAAAAAATCCCAAACAAGCCAAACAAAAAACCCCCAAAACATCCCTCCTGCCTCCATTACACAGGTTGTTAGCTTAGTCTCTGAAGCGAGACTCATGATAGCTCAACAGCAGGTTACTAGGAACCTGCTGTTGAAGATTAAAAAATTGTTATTTCTGCATCAGTGAGTAGTCTGAGAAATTACCCAGTAATTTTATCTGAACTGTTAGTGTCTACCCTATGGGGTTATTATTCCTCTCAACAGTATGAAGTTTTAAACATTGTTCAAATTTCTACCACAGGTGTAAATGCAAGATTTGCAGAGAAAAGCAATATTTTATTAGGTTAGTGGTTATAGCTGACCCCTTACTTACACTTTTGCATTTTTTCCCCACCCCATCTGCCTGAGATTAATTAATTAGTTACTCCTGAAAAATGGTTGTGGAACAAGAGAAACTCAGAGTGCACCATAAATCAATTAGTATATTAATTTTATTTGATACCTTTATTCAGTCCATGCATTTTATTTTTCTAGCTTGTTTTTCACATATATATTTTGTCACTTTTCCTTATGGATCAGAGCAGGCCAGAGGATGACAGATTGTTCAGTGAAAAATTTTTGCTCATGTGAACTAGGTGTTTCTGCCCTTGATTGTTATCGACAGAGAATTATTTATGCTGTGTCATTAAGTTTCATCTATGTAGTTCCATAGAAGCAGTTGATGTACTGAATATAATATATTATGAAGAAGTTTGTATGAAGGATCTGTGGATTTCAGTGATGCTATTGGGGTTTTATTATGGGCATTTCCAAGATGCACTGGGAGATGTGTCTGTTGCTAAGGCACGCACTAATGCTGGTCTGCTGGGAAGCTGCTTTCAGTGAACGAGCTAGAAAAGGTGTCTAAGGAAGTTTCTTTGAAAAGTTGGATACTCCTCCAATACACCTTCTAACTGTTAGAAGATTTCCATAGACTTCAGGCTATTAAAACATGTGACAAGCAGAACCACCAAATGAAGCAGAGGTGTACTTTTGCTCTGCAATTCTTAGATGATACTTCAGCAACTTAAAAAAAAAATAAAAAAAATAATACTAAAAAAATATATATATACACACCTATTTCACCACATGAATATTCCTATTGACTGAAGTTCTCTGTAGGCTTTTAAGAGAGATATTGTGACCATTACACTCAGAACAAATGTGCAGCTCTACACTTGGTTGGGGTTTTTTTTGTGTTTTGAAAAGTTTATGGTTTTGTGCATGTGCACGTTTTAACTTGTGTCTTTTATATTATACTGTGTAACAACGGTTACAAATGGAACTCATAGATTTTAAAAATTAATTCTGTATTTGTTACTGAAAAAGTGACATGACTACAATATGCAGTACTTTCAGAGGTATGATGATGCTACAGCCAGAGATTCAAACTGAAATAAGGAAAGCATTTTTAACAGTCAAGGGCACTAATGACTGAAATAAAGAATAAAGAGAAGTGGTAGTTTTATCTTTACTTCTTCAAATGAGGATACGATGCCTTTCAGCAAAGTATATATAAGCCTAGTTAGCTTGATAAAATGTAAATAGAAACTGGTAAAATTTAATTACATATATATGAAGAGGGATGACTAAATGATCTAAAGATATTATAACCAGATAGCATTATAAATAAAAATGTAAAATATTGCTAATATTAATAGTTTAACTACAAATTGGTGAAGTGTTATTTATATGTGAAATTCAAACAAGGAAAAGACTTATCCTAGATCCCCCTGTACATCCCAATCCCTAACTGAATGTACGTTTAAACCTGCCTCACTTGGCAAGGATAAACAGTTTAAAGAATGTCCTTCCTTCAGGTTTTCTGAAAAATCAGCTATCAGACAGAGAAGAAATAATTTATCTACTTATCTTTAAGGGAAGGCTACAATATTTGCCAACTCTCCACAAAACACAATGAGGTGCAAAATCAACTTTGAAACTGTAGTAAAACAGGTCTTATTAGATCCATTGCTCATGGAGCTAACTGTGTATCAGTCACGCTTACAATTTTTGCTGATCCTCTGTCAAATGGAAACTCAGTTGTACTGACTTTCCCCTGAAACTGTGGGATCTCTATATCATCTTCACTGGGGCTCTTAATTTTTGCTATTATTCTGCCAACTAGATCAATTCCAGTGCGGTTGTTGTATTCATCCTGTAAGTAAAAAAGACAAAAAAGTTAGTTTGGAACACGAACTAAGTAATCCATTTATTTACTGCACTGGGTATATAAGGGGATGGCTTCTGTGAGGAGAGGCTGGGACTGCCCTGTGCCAGACACAGCTGGTTCCAGCCGGCTCCAACTGACCCATTGCAGGGCTCAGTCAAGGTGCTGGCTCCTCTGGGAAAATATATTTAAGAAAGGGCAAAAATGCACAGGCAGACGAGAAGGGGGGAAAAGAAAAAAAAGACCAAAAAAAAGGACCCCCCCAAAAAAAGACCAAAAAAGAGACAAACAGCAGAGGGAACATCAAGGTGAGAGAAGGTAGCTCCAGGCACCAGAGCAGTGATTTCCCTGCAGCCCATGAAGGGCCATGGTGGAGCAGATATCCACACCGCAGCCTGTGGAGGACCCCACGCTAGAGCAGGCGGGTATTTCCTCACGCTGGAGCAGTTCATGAAGGACTACAGCTCATGGAGGGACCCACACTAGAGCAGGGAAACTGTGAGGATGGAGTGGCATAGAGGAGCTGTTATGGACTGACCATGACCCCATCCTCCTGTGCTGCCGGGAGGAGGGTAGAGGGGAGCCTGGGAAAGGGCGGGGTGGAAGGTGTTGCTTTATTTTTTTTTTGTCTTTGTTTCTCACTACTCAAATCTATTTTAATTGTCGATAATTTAAATTAATTTTCCACAAGTTGAGTCCGTGTTGCCCATGGCGGTAACTGCTAAGTGAGCTCCCTGTATCCCTTTGAACGTTCAAAGTTCAGGAAAAAAAATCATGGAGAGAAGCATCTGCTGTATAGTATATATAAATGTTTTCCCAATAGAATCTCTTCTTGAAACATTTGTTTCCTGTGGCAACAAGAAACGAGTTTCAATTGAGATGCTTGAAAGAAAGGATTGCACATTTTAGTTTTGGTCATCTGTATGTAAATAAAATGAGATGCAGCTGTCATATACTGGAAATCACTGATTTACATCTTTTTGGTCAAGTTAATCTGCAAAGAGATAGCAGCAATGCTTTACAGCAAAATTCAACATATTTTTTGCAATCTTATATATTTCCCTGATTATGATTTTGTATTAAAATATAGTTACCATTACATGGAGGGATAAATCCTTGACCAGTGTACGGCTAGTAAGAGTTCGAACATTGGAAACTGCTGGAGTAGCTGGTAAAGAATCAGGTAACAAGCGTACAGGGTCATTAGGTACAACTTCAACTATAATCTAGCAGAAAAAGGAGGAAGAATAAAAATAAAACAAAATAAAATAAAGACTGATATAATTTACTACAATTCACCTGCACACATGGGTTGCTCAAAAAATACTGAAACAAATGCATGTGAAGTTTACTAACAATCTTGAAATAAAGTAGCATGACCATAAAAAAAATCAGTTCTATTAGGCTGCAAATTATGCAGCACTGTTATTTCATAAAATTTCTGCTTAGTCATAAAAGCTAATGAAAACATACTTTGATAATCAACAGTTTGAAATCAGCAACTATCAAAAATAAAAATACAATTTTTTGCAAAGCCTGCAAGTATTTGCATCCTGAATCTACAAAGTATCGTAACATTTCTCCCAGATGACTCTGTATTACATGTTCTTGGCTACATGTAATTAATTATAGATTCAAACCTGGTCACTGAGAAGCATATTTGTCTTATCCATTGCAAAGGTAAACTGGATACTGTAAGTGCCCACTCTCTCTGGAATCACTTTATCCCTAAGGAAATCAAAAACCAAGCAAAAACAGGTCAATATTCAAGTGACAAGTATGTAAGTATGCAAGCAATTCAAATTCTAAGTAGACCTCCAAACTAGTTAGAAAGTCCTGTTAAGGGATGGCGTGTATTAGCACTCGTCCATAATACTCCTCCTTCAGCAAGAATGCCATTAAAGTTTTTCAAGACTAGAGGTAAGATTGGAAGAGGCAAGTCTCCTCCAAGAGTTTTTCTCTACTAGCTGACAGGAAATTTGTTGCGGCCCTATTACTCAGAAATCTGCAAGTCTACCTCAATTCACCTCCCATTCAGTCAATTTTCATAAAGCTACTGAAACAGAGCATAGAGATCTTTAGATCTGCAACAACAACAACAAATTCTCTCCAAATTTAATCATTTGGTTTGAATTTACAAAAATCTGAGTAGCTAATTCCTTCTTTTATTCAAAAGGTGTACAAAGTTGGTTAACTTGGACCAGTGGCCAAGGTTGAGTATAGTGAGAGAGAAAAGAGTTTCCATTATAACTTACAGCATTCCAGAATGCAGACTACTGGCAAAGAACCTCTAACATCAAAATATGAAGGGAAGACAGACGCCTGTGCTTCTGCTGCTATAAACAGAACTCCACCTAGCAAAGAAGGCCACATAGCACCCAGAAGACCACTGCACTGTTTAATAAGGGATAGCAGTGACTTACGAATGCTTGGGACGCCAACAGTCTCTAACCAAGATTCAGACATTAATCTGAGAGGATGACTTGTGGTGCTCTGGAACTGATTAATGAGATCTTCGTTTTCAACATACAGCATTTTATGTTTTGTCAATAACATTAAGCAATTTGTTTCCTCTTATTTTTGTTTGGGAAGAAGATGCAAGATTCCCTGGAATGCTTCACTTGAAAAAAACAAAATCCCAAAGCTTTACCTGTTTCTAGAATGGGTCTTGACTTTTCCTTTTTGTATGTGATATGCAGAAGGAACAATTCTACCTTCTTTTGTGCATTTTATCTAGGTTAAGACTAAAAGTAGCATCTGTTTTGTCAGGATGCATTAAAAAACTGAGTTGTAAATCATCTGCTAAGGATCTCATGGGTGAACACCATCTAACCAGACATATGCTTTAGAAAAAGAAGAAATTGCACAATTGTTATGAAAGTTGTAAGACTGCATAATAGCATCCCTGTTACTGATTGGCATTAAGTAGATGAAAACCAGTTGTGACTGTGCCAAGGACAGGAAAACTTGAGAGAAACCAGGTGGTAGACAGTGATGCCACAGACACTATCAGCAATGAGCAATATGTACTTTCCTACAACGGCTGCTAATGTGTAGTCTCTACTGCCTTTTCAATTTTTCAAACAGGTTGGGACATTTGTGGGCAACTAGTAAACTACAGGTACCAATGTCAAGATTTTAATAATTCCATACTCAACTCTATATAGGTTATTTTATATTACACTGACCACCACTGTGCTTTTCACAGGAGAACATTTCTTAGCATGACTACACATTGGCACATTGATTCTAGTTTTCTTTTTTTCTGGAGGTACAAATACATGGTGCAGAGTGCCTTGTTTTGATAATGCTTTAGGGAGTTCTTATGTTTTAACTACACCTATAACTAAGAATTTCTCAGAATGACCAAGGCCACAGAAGCACACCTCATACTTAGTGCAAGTTTGCGGTGATCCTTGGTTTCTGGAGAAGCTCATTCCATAACCTTGCACTAGCCACAATGGGGTCTGCTCTGTTAAAAGCAAAACTGCACTCCTATTTTGCTATAGCTGCCAAATTCAGTCTTAGGCGGCTTTGGAACCTCCAGTGTCTTCAAGGGAAAGACAGATCTAGGTCACGATGCAAAAAGGCATGCCTAAATAGCTTTTTGAATGAGATGTAATCTCTTAAATGAAAAAGACTTAATGCATACATAAATTATGTTGCTGTAAACCATCAGAGAAGGTAAAAAGACTGAATAAACAAAGGTCATACCAACTGCCCTCCCAGATGGGATAGTTTCTTGGCTGAATATTAGAGGGAATTACAGATGGAGGTACATCTATATTGCATATCAAGCTGGGTCAGAACCCTGGATTTGAGCCTCACGTCTCCAGAGAAAAAAGGGGTGAAGACTTAATGCTACATCAAGGTCTTCAAAGCACATAGATCCCCAAGGATTACAAAGTGGATGCCTGGCTTCCTGAACTCTACTACCACATCTGTTTAACTGATCCCACAGCATGCCTGCCACGAATAGATGTAGAAAGAATATGGCAGTGATGCACCAGCTTATGATGAGCTCTAATTCTGCTGCCTGTCATCTAAGACACCATCTCTGAAAAAGTAACCCAAGGAAAGACCAATAAACTGACACTGCCGAGGTCATGGCTCAGGATTAACGCACAGCTACAGAAGGTATTAAATCAGAGATAGGACCACTTTGTCCAGCCTGCAATTCTATGGCAGTTGAATGTAACATTGAGAAGAATTAAAGAATATTACTAGACAAGCGATAAACAGATGATGTAGTCCCTTCAGGGCTAGCATTTCTCATCATGTATTATAATATATTAAGACTCTTTTCTTCTTGTCAGATTAAACAAATGCCAAATGTATCTAGGGAAGAATTCAATCCTCTTGTTCACTGCATCTTGTTGCTATCTTTTATCTATTATCATACTAATTCTATAACAGATTGTTACTATCAAAGACTAAAACTCTTGTTTCTATTTCAAACTATGCATTTTGTACAGTAAATTGCATCAGTAACTATGAAACGAATGCTGTTATACCTGAAGTAGAAGAAGCCATCTTCCTTGTCATCCTTCACTTTACTACAGCTAAATGTTGTAACCTGAAAAGGTGCAAAAAATTTTAATGTAATATACTGAAAGTTGAAGTACCTTACTTGTAATGTGCTATCAAGTCTTAATGATAGCATACAGTAATTCAATGAGATCACCTATATTTTAGACACTAGTTTCATATTCTTGATTCTCAGAGTTTTAGCGTTTTTGTCCTTACTATAGTTTGGACATTTGAACAGTCTGAAACTTGAAACAGGACAGATATTGATAAACAAATATGATTGGTATGTAATACTTGTTTTTTAAAATCTATAACAGCATATTGATCTAAGTTAAATGAAGGAAAGTTTCTAATACAAATATGTTTGTCCTATGCTGGCATTTTGATACCTATTTTGAAAATCCATTTTGATGACTTACTTCAACTGGTATCCTAGTTCCACTGCTCTGTGCTTCCCACATTTTCATAGATATCCGTGCTGGATTAATATTTTTAATAATGTTGTCATCTTCAGAAAGAACACTAACCATAAAATCTGTAGAATGAAATAAAACATTTTTTCAATATTATTTTATTGAGAATTAAGAAGAGCAAATTCCATGAGTTTCCGTGTCTCCCTCATACCTAGAGGGGAAACACACAAAACACGCATTCCAAGCAGAACCCAAACAACAAAAAATTTAAAACCAGATATGGAAAACCTTCTTTTCCTAGCCCTCTAATTAGAATAGGTAACAATCCTTATAAAAAAAAAAAACCAAAAACAAAGCACCTACTTTATCAAATGACTACTTTAAAAAATCCCCCTCAAATTTCAAGTCTGCCTTTCCCAGATTATCATTCATATCAAAATAGCAAGCCAGTTTCTTCTTGCTCTCAGGAAAGAACAATCATTAGCTAGTTAAGTAGCTGATTCCTTAAGAACAGAAAATCCAGATCTCCCTCTTCCTTCACAAGTGCTTTAGCCATTGAATTAGTGGATAGAAAGGGGCAGTAGTTGTCAAGAGACTGTACCAACACCACTACCATTTTCCCCATCTATTAGCCACACTGTAATAAAAAGGACTCAGGTTATGAATCTGAAGCAAAGTTTGGCTACTTCTTACACACTAATATCACATACTTTAATCTGTTTAGATTTAAATCTGTTATAAGTAGGACATAAGGACACGTTTCATTCCTCCATTTGTTGTTGACTGGTTCTGCAGTCAAAATAATTGCCATTTTCTATAATGATCTGAAAAACTGAGCTTCCTATATACTCGACAAAGTTTAGTGGTCTGAAGGAAATGGAATCCAAACCAGAATAAAGCTACCCTTCTTCCAGTTGCAAATGTGAACTAAGCATTTTGACACTATGGTTACAGGTGGAATTCATACATATTTTCATGCAATTACATGTTGAAGCTGCACTGCTCATGTAGAACTGAATTTTGCACTTTAAGGAAGGACTGTGGTTTAATGCATATGAAAAATTCAGACATGCATTCCTCCAAGATTACAGTGGCTGCCCTCAGGTGTACCTGAGTTTACTAGTTAATCCAATAATTAGCATGTTACTTAAATATGAGGCTGTTAATAAGGAATTTAATATGTAATTTTTTATCAAAATTCAATGTCATATAGACTATGCTATTTCCTGAAGAAGCTGTTTAATTCTCTTCTTCTTTCAAAACCTGGTTGATTTACACTACATATTTCCTTTGAAAAAGGAAGGAGGGGTGGAGCTAGATCACAGAATCACAGAATGTCAGGGATTGGAAGGGACCTCGAAAGATCATCTAGTCCAATCCCCCTGCCGGAGCAGGAACCTAAATGAGATCACACAGGAAGGTGTCCAGGCGGGTTTTGAATGTCTCCAGAGAAGGAGACTCCACAACCTCCCTGGGCAGCCTGTTCCAGTTCTCTGTCACCCTCACTGTAAAGAAGTTTCTTCTGAAGTTTAAGTGGAACCTCCTGTGTTCCAGCTTACAATGATGGTCATTTTTAGATGATCTTTAAAGGTTCCTTCCAATCCAAATCACTCTGTGACTCTACAGTATGCTTCCTCTAGGCAAAAGTAAAACACCTTGTGAATTCAGTCAAGTTCATAACACTGTATGGAGTATCTTAAAGAATAAAAAACTTCTTCCATAAAAATGTTGGCTCATCAAGTTATGACAGTATAATTATTATATCTGAATATGAACATTCTTTGGTCAAAAAATAAGCTCCCATACCACAGACCTCATATTTGTAGAAGGTATTCTGCTTCTCAACTCCTAGTACTACAGATAAATCCTTTTTATTCTAAATTCTGAATAGACATTGCAGGTATTTCATACAGGCTTGGGATACAACAAATAGATTTGTATGAAGCAGATTTTCTGATTTTTTTTTTGTCACCTTTGAGAGATTTTTGTCATCTGGGAATCTGGAAGTATTTACAGAGGAGTACAGAGAACAGATGGAAAAAATTCAGATGCATGTGCTGAAATCACATTGTGAAACAGCAACAGAACTGAAAACTGGAGGTGTTTAAGGCTGGGCTGGATGAGGCTTTGAGCAACCTGGTCTAGTGGAAGGTGTCCCTGCTGATGGCAGGGGGGTTGGAACTAGATGATCTTTAAGGTCCCTTCCAACCCAAACCATTCTATGATTCTTTGATAAGTATTTTTTTGTCTTCCTTAATATGGTATTATATTTAAAGTGACAGACTGTGCCCATTTTCTTTATTTAGACAGGACTTCAGCTTTCTGAAGAGTAACTTTGTACCATGGTTTCACAATGTAAATTATGTTACTGCAAATTAAACAGGAAAATTTTCTGGAGAGTAAATTTGCATACTTCACTAGCAAAGTCAAGAACTGTAACTCCCATTGTTATCATAAAGATTACTTACTTCCTGGATTAATGCAATTAGTTCATAGAGGTCTCTTACTCATGCCAGAGTTTCCTTATAGGAAAATCAAAGGTTTCAAATTCTGTTTTGCTTTTAGCATGGTCATACCTTGCTCTTCTTTATCTGTTTTCCTTATTATGAATACTACTTAGATAATAAAAGCATGAGACAGGTTTTTTTTCTTTTATGACTCAGCAGCCTTAGTTAGAAAGCAAAGATCATTCTTTCATCAGAGAATAGAGCAAGAGAGAAGAACACTTTGTACTGTCCCTGGCATACTTCTGATCACTTCTTGGTTCCTCTTGGCTCACAGTTGGCCTAAAATTTCATAGCTACCTCCTTTGTTAGATTCCATAGAAAATGAGACAAGGGAAAACCTGCATGAAACAATTCAGATCATCTTTTGGGAAGAGCAAAAACTGAAATACGGTATTTCACTATGGACAGAGAAGAGATTCTGTAGTTTTATCACTTATACACAGATAAAGCCAGTAATTTGGAACAAATAAGAGGTCTTTTGAAATGCTTTCCAAAAATTATGTACATATCTTTTCTTTCCGAGTGTTACAAAGGCATCTCAGATACGGCTGTTACAAAGAACCAAGGTGATACAGACCAAAAAAGTAAGAAAATACACCAGAAGAATAATTAAAATAGCTTTTCATAGGTTTAAAAAGCTCTTTAGTGCTTGGTGATTTCACCAAAGAACTCTTATACTTACCAGGGAAGGTACCTCCTGCTGGAAAAGAAGTATTTTTGTCAAATTTAACATTCAAGCAGACAGGTTTCTCAGGGTCAGGCAGGACATTTAATGTGATTATAGGACAATCTAATGTGGTCTTGTTGTATAAGGATTTAAGCTGTAAAGTGTGCTCTCCCCTGTAATATATAGAAATCATAAAAACTGTTACGAAATATCTCTCCTGAAAAGACAATTTTCAATGGACTTCAAATTTGAATCATGTACATGAAAGCATAATAAAAAAGTATCTCAAAATTATCAGCAGCAAAAGGAAGAAAAAAATGAAAGTGTTAATGCAAACTAAGAACAGTAAAAGAATAAGTTTAAGATATTATCTTATTAAATTTAATTTTGCTTTAATATTTCATTAGCTTGATCATGTTTCATTGCCTGTCTGTAAGAGTCCAGCAACTACAGCTTTAAGTTTCAGAAAACAAGGTGGAAAGCAAGCACCACTAACTAAAATGCAGTATGAGGAGCATTCTGCTTTGACAGTTTCAAAACAAACAGTGACTCTGCCCACAACTCACATCTAGCGAAGTGCACTGCAAGTATACAATGACCTCGTTGCTATAGATTAACTCTTTTTTATTTTTTACAGTATTAAAAACTTTTAATTTAAGTTTTTGAACAGAACTGGGAATATGGTATTTAACCACATAGAGACTGTACTACTCTCCAGTCAGTTTTGATTATGCTATAAATAGTAAAAATGTTACCACTAAGCATACCTGTTTCTAACCTCCAGTAACATATTGAAAACTAATATTCATCACCATTCTACCAAGATGCAGGCATTACAAGTACACTGAGCACCATCAATAGCATTTAAAATAGATTTTCTTCCAAATGCAAAATAATATTATGGGTCAAATCCTGTAGATACGAATGCAAAAATATCAACTGCCATGAAATACTTATGAAGTTTAAGAGCAAGCACTTATTGCTAGCTTCTAAGCTACCTACAGCCAACCTAATCTTGCAAGAAAAGCTCAGGGATACAGGGAGTGGGTAGCAGAACTGTGAAAGTGAGGATACAGAAATAATGAATTTGAAAAGACAGATGGGACGTGTGACTGTAAGAGGTGACTGACATGAAGAAGCAGGAGCCACAGGACACACATCTGCATGAAATGAAACTTCATTAATTCTACTGCAAATAAGAAAAAAATAAACATATATATTTAAAATTATTTTGGACACTTTACCTAATTCTTTAAAACAATGGATAGCACCCAGAGGAAGTAAGGTTTCAACACTCCTAAAATCTGTTCCTACTTTGAAAGCATAGCGTCTGGATCTGGTCACCCAAAGGTTGTACATTTCAAATATTTTAAGTGGTTTATGGTTACAGGTTGACAATTTCAAGCTGTGTTTTACTATGACCAGAAAAAACAGGATTCAGAAAATTAGAGCAGCAGCTTCTCAGAAGACCAAAAGAAGCAGCTATTGAATTTTATTTAGTTAAGCACTTAATTTCTTAAAGCTTACTATGTGGCCTTCCACCGGCATATAAGTAACGCACGTTTGACCTTAGCTCTAGATTAATTCTTGGTAGGTACTTTATGAAATGCGCAGCTTTAATACATCAAGCAAACGGCATTTCAGAATTCAATTTTTTTTTCCATATAGTTTTCACTACTTACCTAGGTGCATGAATACTAACAACTCCCAGGTTAGCCCTACCATTTTCATCTGTTTTATGTTGCTGGTTTGAAGGAACAATCTGTCAAAAAAAAAATTTTTATTCTTTCAATGACACAACAGTAGTAACAAGTCTTAGAATAAAATGTATATCTCTGCTTGCCTACTGTCTATCCATTTGAGCAACAGCTTCTTTGTATTTTTGCACTCTAATTTAGGGAAAGATACACTGTTATGAATACAGTATTAAGAGGTTTCCGAATTTTCTCTGACAGTTTTTGAAGACAATCACTTTATCTGAACCAAGATACTTTCGACCATTAATACTTTCAAGTATTTTATTAATGTTATTTCTTTCAATGCTACTGATGCAATCATGTCATCCACAGAACACGTTAATCTGAGTATATTTTCAGATTCTAACACCTTCTACAAACTATCTATTCCTTTCTCCAGTCTGCACAGAGATTCCTGAGTAGTGAAAAGTAAAGAATCATACAACTGGAGTAAAAGTAACTAAAACATCTGTGTGTTTCTTCCCTTTCCCCCATTCTAGTCCCACTACCAAAAACATGATTGCTAGATAACCTAGAGAAAAGTGTTATGACAAGTGATGAAGTACAGTACTTTATTTATCAAAACTTACTGACAAACCAGAACTAATCTCTATACAGTAAGAAGTGTCATTTAATCAAATGCCAATAATTATAACTTCTTGTTAGTATTAAGGTAACAACACAAATGCCTTATACATCTCCTATTTACCTAGCGCATTAATTATGTATGATTCTAAGTCTTTTGAAGTCAATATAAATTCTACTGTTGACTTAAAGGAATTCTCACTGAATCCCATTGTTAGAAAAGAACTCCTCTCTAACTCACTGGTGTTCCCCAAAGTATTTCTTCTGTGCGCACCCTGTCTTTGCCACACTTACTTTCCTGACACTGAAAGTGAAGTCTTACGATTGGCAGTACCATCAAGTCATACTTGTCTGCATGCATTAAATATCAGAGAAGATATCAGTTCACTTTCCTCACTAAACGCAATTTTCAGAAATTAAGGACTCCAGTGTAGCAGACAGAGAATGTCTGTCCTCTCAGAGAAACAGGTGTGAATCTTTAAGAATACTAATACACTCTTAAAGTAAGCAGAAGCTATTTCTTCTGCAAATGTGCGTGCATGCTCTGTTAGCCTTACCTAAGAAAGATCTTGTCCAAGTATCAGAAGAACCTCAGATAGGAGCTTTAACATTTGGAGGACAACAAAGGAAGCCATGGATACATTCTGAGCACTTCTGTAATGAATTCCTCTCTAATGAGGGAAATCAACTTTTTCATTGATGATACAATGCCACAATGTGGTGTAAACGTTTGTTATTATCTGACTAGGGCTTGGCATTAAATTGATTTCTCTTTGCTACTTCAGCACAAATTTCAGGGGAGTGTCTACTGTTCACTTACACAAAAACAATGTTTTCATAATAATGAAGTGGGCAATCTTCTTCCAAAACTATTTTATTTCACAAATCTCATGTCAGTATGTTAAAAGAATGAAAATATATTAGCAAAAAAAAAAAAATTTGTGAAAGTAAATCCATAATGGATCAGCTATGGGAGCATGAATTTATCCTACCATGTCACTAGAAAAAGGCAACGGCAAAAAAAAAAAAAAAAAAAAAGTGTGCTTAATGGTTCCAATGGAAAGCAGCATTGTAAAGATATACTAAGAAATACTAATAAAATTGGTAGACATTTCAAACTCTTATGAAGAGTATATCCAACTCAATAAAATAAGCCTGTATTTGAAATTACTGTACATCACAGAATGGAAATTTTAATTTTTACAGAAACCAGTGCTTTGTGCATTTCCACTACTGAGCTCATGTTAAAGAGCTCAGAGTGTTTCTGTTCAGCCATACTCATTCAGTTTTGGACCTGTAAGATAGAGAATGAAGTATATGCAATGCATGCTGCAACTGCAGAACATCAGGCTTAGGAAACTTAGAGGCTGAGATGCACAATATAGAAAGACAGCTTATCTGAGCATGTCAGTTCCCAGAAGTTTCTAATTTCCTTTGGGAGACTCTGCAGACAACTATTTGAAGTGCCAAGGCAAGACAAAGAGGTTCTCCAAGATACTAATCAATACTGATCCAATGTGTGTTCAGCAAGCAGCAGTTAGTTGCTCTGCTAATGCAGAAAAGTAACTCTTAGAAAAACATACTGGTGTTAAGCTCTGGGAGAGCTCACTGTAATAAACACACTGTAACAAAGATCCACCCTGGCTTTCAGAACACTTTCTCCTGGACACATCTCACTTAGATAAAGAGCACGCAGACAGTCTAAGACGTACTGCTGGTCCTCCCTGGAGTAAGGCATAATATCTTAAAAGACACAGCATACCACCACAACATCTCTTTGATTAGGCCCCACAACCACACAGTGTTATTGTCAAGGTTGCATGTTCTCTCAAGAACAACGTAACTAGAAGCCCTGGGGAAACAAAAAAATCCCAAAATATGAGGCATGTTTCTATGGCAAGACATTCAAAAAAGCCAGAAGAAAAATGTTCAAGATATAAAGAAATTTCCTAAAAAAATAAAATAAAATAAATCAATAAAAATAAGTAATAGTAGCACAGTTAAATTGGGGGAGAGGTGAGGCTGTGGCACAGTTCTTGAGGGGTGAACAAAAGAAAGTTCTTGGCTGCTGTGTGTTCTGAGAGGACTGAGGGACACAAATGTATGGCAAGCAGGAACAGAAAGGGAACAAGACCAGCCCTGTATGAAAAAACGCCATATCCAGAGGTGGATGAATATCCTGTATTGATAACATACATATTCAATATAAAAGTCTCTGCATTGACAGTTAGGAATGTTTTACAGTTTGACTTCCACAAGAACCCAAATTTTAATGAATGGAGTATTGTCAAATCTTTCTTCATACAGAACAGGCAGACCATCTGACACTCATATCTCACTCACGGAAAGGAGAGTAACCACTAAAATTTGGGTTACATTTGCATCCTCGTTGTTTTAATTTTGTTTATACTGCCAGTGATTTTCACAGGGATAATCAAGTAGGGAGCAAACCCTGCTGACTAGCTTTACATACAGACCATAAGTCTTACATTCAGGAACCACAAAGAACCACCAGATAAAAATGATTCAGCTGCTACTTTGGATCATATCATAATCATCACTATTATTCAGTAAATTACCTCAGATTAAGTGAGGGATGGGGGATGCATGCAGAATTTGGAAAAAGGTTCTAAAAGATCCAGAAGGTATACTAATTGCACTTGGACACTATTACAGGGATTTTGTTATATTTTTGATTGTTACAATGAAAGGGAGCTGAGCAATCTGTCCTGTGAACTGTTTATATTACTTGTTAACATTACTATATTTGAGATGAATTATTCTTTTGTGTCCTCACAATATTTTATTCACTTTTCCAACAATGTATTGAAAATGAAGACGATTATGTAGACATAGCAATAAAAATTTGTGTTAAACAAAGTTCATATAGTACGGCCTATGCTTACCTTTAAGTTGTTACTCTTTGTAAGGCTGATTTTGACATTTGGTTCAGGACATGGATTTCCCCACTGATCACAGAGCTGAACAATAAGAGGCTTCTGCAATTCTCTACCATTAATCACTGTGACAGGCTACAAGAGATACAAATGCATTGTACTATTCTGTTCTAGGTATATCAGACATTCATGGCAGGTCAAGAATTCCCAGAGCAGTAGTGTCTGCCTTTTCCATACTATTTGTCTCCCATAACATCTAGATCATGACAGAATTGTAAAACTCCAGGAAGACATTTCTAGAGTTTTTTTTCTCCTGCCATTATAAAACACGTCACTTGAACTGAATAGCATGTGTTACTTGTGTTAATGTGACTAACAGGAAGGACATGCTTCTGAAGAGGCTTATCAAACAGTTTCCTTGTTGTAGGAAGAGAAAATAGCCTAAAATTTTTATCTTCTGATATACTTTGACAGCATTCTAGAGAGTAAAAAGAGTTATGATAGTTATGGTACTCCCCGAACCTTTTGTTTCACTTTTTTCTTCAGTACCTTCCTTCTCCATTTTCCCAACACGCCAATCTTTATTCCTGTTCTCTACTCAGAGATCCAATTTTCTTTTATCTGCTTATTTTGCTTTCTGCTGCAACTTCAGCAATATCATTTGAATAGACAAAGTAAACATTGAACAATTGGAAAAACAAACAAACAAAACAACACCCTAATAAATAAATGGATGGTACCAAAAATCTCCATCCTTTTAATTTGATAGAAGTACTGTACTCCCTTTCCCACTTTCTGACTGTAAACACTTGTAAACTTGAGTAAATTTGGGACTGCCTTCCTACATCCTAAACATCAAAAAAACCCAGTAACAGATAAAGAAGACATGAGCTGCCAACTATTACTACCATAAAGAACAGTATCTTTGGGAAACAGCAGTGGAAGATGAGTGTTGGGATCCAGTCCACAGTAAAATTGCTGCACCAAAGAAAAGAAAAATACATCATCTGTAGAAGGGCAAATGGGACAGAATAAACAGTTTAAGATACGATGAATACAGTGTTGTACACACACAGACAAGTTAGATTACTCCAAAATAACTTTATTTTTAAAAAACTAATGTAGTTAGCTATTTTGTGAAAAATGCTTCACATCTACAGTCCCATTTAAAACATGTCTATATAATTAGACAGTTTGCAAAATACTTGTTGTCCTCTATACAATAAAAAATGTCTCTAGAGCTGTCATATTCTCACAATTTTTAGAGGTATCGATACTAAGAAATCAGGGTTTTCAGCTTTGCATCTTGTGCTCCAAAAAGCTCAGGAAATAAAAGATCCACTGACTAGTGACTCTGTTGTTTTTTTTCCCCAAACCAAAACTGTTCAGCTTACCTTTTCTAAGTCTGGCCAATCCACAAACTGCAATTTAGCAGGGGATCCTGCAGTTAAATTTACTCTGAGAAAGTCAGAAAATTCACGCCAGGCGAAGCACAATTCTTTGCTTCCAAGTAAACAAGGTTTAAACCGAATACCTTTTACTCTCATTGTTAGAGTACTTTCCTATTGAGAAATAAGAAAAAGATTTTATCAAAAATAAATAAAGGGAATTATAATTTATTCATTTTTCAATATGGTATTTTAATATTTATACCTGCTAGACAGTATCTGCTGTTTATACTGTGAGACAGTGGACTAAAAATTAAACTACAATTTCTATCCCTTTTGTTAAATTTAAATGGACTTGCTGTGTAAGAAGTGATCAATTTCAAACTCTAGCATTTCTCAAGAACCTGCTTTTCAATGTATGAGTTATGTACAAATTAGTTATATCCAACATACTTTAAAAAGTATAGAACACATTTTAAATTAAACTATGGCAGACAATATAATTAGTCCATTCTACAAGGTTATTCAAAAGATCCTAAACTCAACTGTACCACTATAAACAAACAAAGAAGATTAAAAACAAGTTAGAAAAAAAGACACAAAACAATAGACTAGAAACAAAGCAAACCCAAGTCATGCATTAAGTGACCTGGCTCCCAGATTGTATAGCTGCAGCAGTGACAAGGTTTTTAAAAGATGCTGCTGTATTCCTTAGAACAGGATCACATTATTTTAATGCTTTGAGCCTCTATCTTCTCATAGCATACCAACTAGTGTTTAATTTGACTACCTTTCCACAGTTTTGGTTCAATTCTGTATGACAGAATTAAGACAATTCCCATGCAAAGACCACAGAGAAATAAACTACTTGACATCTTATAAATACCTGCCAAGTTATTTTCAAATTTGATTTATCAAGTCCAGGTCCAGAAACTCCTAGGGAATTTACACATGCAGATGTCACTGTCTGAACCTGATTTCCATACTGATCTGTAATCATTACATCTGTTAAAAAAAAAAAAATTATTACGATGAAAATTATTATTAAGGTAATTACCTCAGTAGCTGCTGTAATGAAACATTATACAACATAGGGAACATATATTTATACACAACATACATACAATATAGAGCAAATTTACATGAGTATCACTGAATCACAGAGTGGCTGAGATTGGAAGACACCTCTGGAGGTTGCATGGTCCAACTCCCCTGAGCAGGGCCACCCAGAGCCATTTGCCTGGGACCATGTCCAGATGGCTTTTGAGTATCTCCAAGGACGGAGACTCTGAAATCTCTCTCGACAACCTGTGCCAGTGCTCAGTCACCCTCACAATAAAGAATTGTTTTCTGATGTTCAGAGGGAACCTCCTGTGTTTCAGGTTGTGCCATTGCCTCTTGTCCTGTCACTAACCATCACTGGGAAAAGCCTGGCTCCATCTTCTCCACACCCCTTCTCTTCAGCTATTTATACACGATGACAAGATCCTCCCATCTTGTGGGTATCAAAAGTGTATTAACAAAATATATCTATATAGTCATATCACATATTTGTGTTTCCCACTTTTTTTTGAATGTAAGGATTATTTCTTGCTATAAGGTTAAAAGAAAAAAAAAATCTTAAAATTTATTTTCAACCTGTTAATTTATCCTATGTGCTTTTCTTCACTCACCCACAAGCTTTTAATGTCCCAAAATACTGTTAGAATTTTTAATTTCCTACTATGCCATGTAGCATCTGTGTACAGAAACCAAAGGGGAATGAGAAGACTGATCCCTAACATGCCTTCATCTCAGGTTAAAGTTAAACATAAAATGCTTCACTTCGAAGTCCATGCCTTTGAAACAGTATGAATGCTGTTGGGGCTTGCAGGATTTGAGAAATTAACAAACAATTTGAACTCAGTGTGATGAAGGTCCCAATGTACAAACTAAGAGACAAATTTCATCTGAGAGTAACTCCGGAATTGTAAAATAGCAATTAGAGAAGCCTGATCATCCTTTCATCAATGAGAATGTAAATCTGCTTTTTATATTAAAGTGGTTGAAGATAACTCACTGTTGATGATATCTGTATATATAACAGGTGAATAAACTGCAAAGAAAAATCATGTATCTTGAAAGAAATTGAAGAATATACAAATACTCACCAATTTCACTTTGTAGTTCTTCACCCAACTGCAGTGTGTTTGGTCCTTTTAATTTACACTTAATGTGTTTGGGGTCATCAGGAAGTGGTCTAAGTCAGTATATAAAAATTGACTTATAATCATTCTCATTAAGGTAATCACTCATAATAGCAGGCACAATAAAGCATACAGCAGTTATCACTCATTTCCAACTGGATGGTTTTTAAAATTATTTTATCCTTCCAAACATTTAGAGGATCAAGCCTTATACGCACACAGGTTACATAGTAGCTTTCACCTCAATCTTATCGGGGGAGCTTATCAGACACTGCTTAGATAACAAACCACTGCAATGCTATGGCATTTTACCTTGTCTTGTAAATAACTTGCCTACCAATATTTTACCACAGACCAGATTAGCTAGATAAAGCAGAATTCAGGTTTGGAGTATTTTAAATCTTGAAAAAAACATATCCTCAACACATCTAAGTCAAAGTAACATACAACTGTCTACCTAATAAAATACATCTATTACTGTAAAACCAATTATAGCATCAACAATAATCCTGATATTTACATACAAAGGTATCACAGTCTCCCTTGCTACTAAAATATTTGCGAACTTCTTAAGGACCCGATTACAACTAACAAAGCCTAAAATTTTTAGTGATACAGTTTTTCCTTAAAAACAAAACAAAAAAAAAAGCATATTACAAAAATTATGGAGAATATGAACAACCACAAAAAAAAAAGAAAAATCAGATTTCCGTTTCCTCTTTTGCTATGATAAAGCAGAAGTAATCAGCCTAAACTAAGCCTAACACTAGTCTCTTAAAAGTACTTTCTGGGGTGCTTTTAAACAATCTCAGCTTTTCTTTCCATTTACTTGTGTGGTAGTTTCAAGTGTGATAAGAGTGATTAAAAAACCAGCACAACTTGATGAAGGTTAATATATCTGATGGGTCTCCAAATATTTAAGAGTTATCTGACATCTGTAAGTTTTCTACAAGTTATCCAACACAATATTTTTTACTCCTTTTGTGTGTGCCAAGCTAAAAATTACATTGAGATCTTTAAAAATCCCCTTCGAATCACCTCCAGCTAATTTTTACAACTACAAGAGAACAACCCCTAAACAGAAGTTCCCTGATCTGAGACTGCTTTTCAAAGACAAGCAAAAATGTATTAAAAATATTCAAGAAATCAATCCACTGTTCATTTCAAGAAGAGAGTTATCGATTCAGTCTGCTTTTCTGTCCTTTTTAAAACAGAAAATACTACTCAACTAAAAATGTTTCTGTCTCTGATAGTGCTGCATCATGGAAAGCTTTTTAAAGGCATTAAGCTCCCAATATTTTAAACAATCTTAATGCTTGATAACTTTTTTTTTTCTACTGCAGATGTGTGAAATGTCTAATTGATGCAAATTTACCCCTGGAATCATTGTGAGTGAACTAGTTACTTATTTTTAACCTATTAAGAACACATGAAATTCACTCAAGTCATTTAGAATCACATTAATCTTAATAAACTTCATAAAGATACAGTACATAGGGCTAACTGCCTAGAGTCACCAAGATTGATAAACAGGCAGTTTTAAAGTTCAATTTACAGCCTGTCACTTTTGACTGAGATACCAAATGCAGGCATCTAGCATTTGGCTAGATAAATACTAACCTCAGCTTCAAAGTAATAACCTCTGTAAGGTTAACAACTAACTTCATAGTGGTATTTCTCTTTGGTAACCAGTGACCTGACTCTTCAGTAAAACTAGTTAATCTATAAGCTAATGTTTACTGGAAGTTTTCAAAGACAGTAATCTTCTTCAGTGTACGTATACTTACAAAAGTGATTATATGCCTGGACACAAACAGATCTTGTTGGAGTCTTTCACAGAGGTAATGTTTTTATCTGTGAACAATTTACACCCAACCAAACCTCCATTCCCCTGTTAATTTGCTAACTGCTTTTATTATTTCAGCTTCTGTAGAAAGATTTTTTTACCCCATAGTACAAATCTACAATTCTTTGTCAACAACATAATTAATAAAAAAGTATTTCAAATGAACAAACCTGACTGTGAATGCACTCTCCAAAGACACATGGTCATCAAGATAAGTAATTAGACAGTAACGTACATCTTTTACTGATGTTGGTACTTTTACATCAGGTAATAATCCCTGAACCAACTGTTCTTTGTTAATTCTAGGTGTCCAGTTAACCTAAAATAAAAATTTATTAATTAATTATTAAATTAATCAAAAGGTAAACTACTGATAACTAGCTACATAAGACATCTGTGGTCATTCTAAATATGCTGAAGTAACATACAGGCAACAGAAGCTTTCAATGGAAAGCCTGTGCATTTTCCAACAGTAATCAATGCTGTCTTCCCAAAACAAAACATGTATTAAGTTTCCCTCACTTATCTTGAGTTATGAAAAACCTCACCAAAAAAGTGTCACATATTTGGTGAAGCTCTACCTTTGTATTGGGCTCCATGTATGTACACATAGGGACAAGACAGTTGAGCAAATCTTCATGATGAAGGAACATGCCTATTCAAGGTTGATAAATGTTGGGAAAACCTCAGATCTGAAGAATCACAACTATGTCGGAATTGTCTTATTGTGTTTAGGAGAAGCACTGGAAATCACTAACCTGCTTTTCATAATACTACCCTGAAGCATTATTTAACATTTCATTACATGTCTTTATCCCATTAAGGATATAATTTTAATAAAATGATTTTAAAAAATATTATTAAGCAGAGAGTGAAGTTCCCATGTTTAATAATACAGTCTTGAGGAATATTATTTTGTAGTCTGATGTCTATGTATTTTGGAGAATCAGCATCGTATCTCTCCCCCATATTATGCTGCTGTTTACTCTGAAGTACTTGCCTTGATTTTTTCTGCCAAAGCTGGAGTTATGTTTATCTCCCTTTCTCCTTCATCATACATCTGAAATATAAGGTTGCGCATGACGTTGCCAGCAACCCACTTAATTTCATCCTGATGTTTAATTTGAATAGCTTTTTGTCCGTCCATACTTAAGATCTGTATTCTTGCAACATGACTGCTAGGAAGAAGTTTAATAATCTTTTCCACTGGTGGCACATCCTTACAACTCTATATATACGAGGGGGGGTGAAAAAGAGATATAATTAAGATATTAAATATACATACATGCATAAATGGCACTACTCTGAATTATCAGGTGTGATCAGGTGTCCAAACATGTCATCAGCTTGACTTGTCAAAGGTAAATCAAAAGAATATGCCAGAATACTTACAACTTTTAACAGGTACAAGAATTGATGCTAGATAGTTAGAAAATGTTTTCTAGTCCAAAAGTACTATGTTATATAATTTACAAATTACTTTTTAAGAATAATCATAAGTATTCTTTTATATAAGTCATCTTGCCATATTAGTATTTCTTTACACATTTTTCAGATTAAACCACAGGTTTTATTTCTCCAGCAGTGTGGTTTTCCTGACTACTAGAGAACTGTGATGTTCAACAGCATTTAAAAAATTCAAACTTCAAGAGCTTTAAGACTGAAATGCTAAATGAAGTTATTGATTTTTAGCCTTTGAAAAAAATCTATCCTTCTTCACATGCCGCCATACCTATTTAGGCTCTAAATGTTTATGCAATTAAGGCAATTTCTCAGAAGGATCCAGGGAGTAAAAAGGGGAAGGAAATCCCAGAAATAATACATATTTCTGAAACACTTCAGGGATTTCAGAAATAAAGACTAAGACGTAAAGAAAAACCGAAAAAAAATATTAAAATTTGTATTTTTATGATTTCCTAGAGAGGAAAAAAGGGCAGCCATCTGATTATCAGGCTTATGGTAACTAAACCAGTAGCTTTTGGGAGTTAAGTTGATTCATAAAAGACTTCACTACACCACCAAGACAATACAATAAACTGTTTTCAGTCTTTTGTTCATCTAAACATCCCAATCAATACTTACAAGAATTTCAATCCTTGCTTTCAGCACCTGGTCTTTCTTGATATTCTGTACATGTATAACTGGACCAGTTAAAATGTTTGTTCCCGCATTACTGCAGTCCACAGAATATACAGGAAGGTTTGAAGCACCTAAAAACTATTTAAAATGTAAAAGTAAATTTCAGGTTTCTTTTACAGAACTACTAGGATGATTCCAGAAATTATTATTTGTACGAGTTCAAATATATATAGCTTTATTTACAGTTAAATTTAATAGATTTCAGTTTTACAGAAGCCTGCAAGATCGGCACCTATATTTTTTTCACAGGTAATAAAGAGATGTGTGGAAGAAAGGAAGAAGTTAGAGAAGTAAAATTTACTGTCTATTCAACTACTTATATCAACACATTAACATTAGTCTTTTGCCATTACGCAATAAATTCAATTAAGTTTTAAAATAAACCTCTTTTTCATTAATTTTCTAAAAATCACACATTAACCAGAATTTAAATATCAACACACCATCATACTACTGCAGACCCACTCTACAGGAAGAGAATGTATGCATATAAAGTGTAAGTGCTTATGATAACAGTCTTATCTAATCTTAATTTTAGGCACTAGACTTATATTTTCATCTTTAAAAACAAAAATCAATTATCTTCCATTTCTAAGGACAGGTTCCTCTGATTCCGAAACTTACTGAATGACTCATAATAGATGAGGCAAAAGAGTCACAGTTATGGCTACTAAGCTACAGAAACTTCAAAAGCATTATTAAAGATAGTAGGTTCTATCTAGATGCCAAAATAGGTTCTCTTCGCAGCCCTTTAAAAAGCAAGTATCAACATCCTTATGACATATAATAAAATGCAGTCTACCTTACAGTGAACTATCAACTTTGGCTGTGATGTTATATTTCCTGATTCATCCAGTACTTCAACCTGAAAGGGGAAAGCTGTACCATTTTCAATCTTTAGAACTTCAGAATCTGGTTTTACTTTCAATTGATGAGGAGGGCCTGTAAAAATGCACAGTTGCAGAACCGTGGTTATACTTTGGCTAACTTACGAGACACTGGATTTCAGATTTTACTATCACACAGATCTCTAAGTTTTAAAAGTTAAGCTACCAAGGTAGCTGTGGCAACAAAGCATTTAGACCAATTCAAGTGTATTGGTTTACACCAAGAAGCTCTAGACACTTCCAATCCATCCATACATACCACCTGCCAATCTTTTGAATGAATTCAGTGAAGAACAGTTAGACAAACATGACAAACTTCAGCATATACAAGAGGTACACACACCATATAGTGCTATTTACATACTATAGGGCTTCACATGCATCAAAAAAACCTGGAGCTTTCTCCTGACATGTTAAAACCAAAGATACTAAGGTTGAGATATCTGATCAATTATGATGTGCAGTGGTTTAATTACCAAAGTTACCACAGTTAAAACTTGCAGGCAAATAAAAGAAAATTTTGTTGGCATTACTTGGATAGTAAAATGAAGCTATTCAAGTAAGTTTACTCCCTGGAAAATACAACTATTTTATCATTTTTAAAAAAGCCAAGGAAGTAGTAGATTACTATTAAAAGACAAGTTCTGAAGGAACAAAGAAGGCCATTTTTCAGAAACATCCTTTATACATCATTCATTAAAACTTCAATTTCAAACTCACTGGTTGAAGAACAGGAAAGACTGAAATAGCTTTTACTAGCTCCTTCCTCTAAAAACAGCTTTAAAAGCCAAAGATAAGTCCAATGAGAATAAAGAAGTAGCAAAGCATATCTACATTGCTGAAAGCAAAAGATTCTAATGAAGGATGAAGTTGCCCTCAGTCCAAGGTAAATAACTAAGCAATACACAAGACAGTCTGTCTCAAGTCAGATCATTCCTCTCAGTTTTCTACATTAAGCCTTAACTCTTCAAAAGATAAAGAATAATGGAATAAAGTGTGCACTGTTGGTCTAACAAAGCTTGTCCCTGCAAAATGAGATGGGAAAGTCTAAAGTTTGGTAATCTGGGAGGCCAAAAATCAGCCTTCGAACTATATCTCTCAAATCCAGAAAAACCCAGGAAACAAGGGATAACAGGTATCACATAAGAGAACCTTTAGTATCAAGATACCCACAAAACACAGAATTGTGGTAAGGGCAATGGACTTAGAGACTTTATATTCCTCTCTTGCATTATAATAAAGTCAATGTGAAACAAAAAATTACAGACACAATCCCAACTGCTAAAGCATCCCTCATTTGCTGGGGTAAGAAACTGAAGGAGCACTTATTCCTTCACAAGATGTTTTCCAGAGATAGAACAAGTCAATGCAGATTAGTACAAGCCAAAGGGCTTATGCTGAACAAAACCAAGATAAGAAATTAATTCATTCAATGGTGCTAAGTTAGAAAAATATTTAATATAATTTTAAAAATAAGTGAAAAACCAGTCTCAAGTAAGCAGACAAATTCTAGCTGTGAGAATAAAGGACAGAATTTGGCTGTGAGTTTGATGTTATTCCTGACAAGAATGACACGCCCTTAGCTTTATTTAGTTTTAGTCATTACTTGGATGAGCTAGAATAATCTTCACCCCCCCTAAATATTTTACCTTCTTGGGAAAAAAAGTATTTCATTAACAGTGTTGGAATAAAGTTCAACAGAATTCTCTAAATATTGTAAGGATACTTACCAGGCTGCAATCTTATTTTAAAGATTTGTGTGTCTTCTTTCAAACCAGGAAGAGTAACCTTCAGATTAAAGTTCTAATGAAAAGAATATTTTAAATATTAACCTTAAACAAAACCAGATCATAAATTATTTCACACAGTCATGTCAATTCATATCTATGTAAATTTCAGAAGTCTATCCAAATTTTCTTGCACTGCTACATAAATCAAGATTTTTTTTTCAGGTACTGAATTCTGTCTTTTTCATGTCAGTATTCCTAGAGATGTTCAATCAGAGATTTGCATGTTAAACTACATGGTTCTGAAACCATTAAAAGCAGCTATCATAACTTGTGGTTTCCTGCTTAGACACTGTTTTAGTGTGGAAAAAAACACATCAGTTAAAAAGTAGTTTTAAAGAAAGAGTCTGCAAGTTCTGTGTTTGTAATTCCTTAACTATTTACCTGAAGCAAGCTACCACAACTACTATCCATCTCACCTTCGAATAAGGCCATACGAAAACCAAATGCTGTAGAACTGCATCACTAAAACTGATTTTCACATTACAATCAGAGAAAGCAGCAGTGTAATCAGTAGTTAATCAATCAGAGAACAAAGCAGTCAAATCAACTTTTAAGGTGCTGAAAATTTCTCCTATGTTCTCCTCCGCTTCTCATTTTAAATTAAGCACTGAAAATACATTTTATTTATGTTCTTAAATTATTTGTTCTTTTTACTCTGTTGTCCCACCATCCTGCTTTTTGCCATTATTTTTCATTGCCATCTTAAACAGTCCTGTTTTCATAGAAATTAGAATCTCTACTTTCAGTGTCAGTTCCTGTATTGTCTCTGACATTTTATGCAATTAAGCAACATGAGAAAATAACACCCCTTTTTTTTCCATTATTATGGTATGGTATTATTTCTGTACTGCAGGTTCCTTAAATGAGTCTTGGTCTTGCCCCTCACCAAATTTATGTCTTGATACAGCCTGGCCCTTCTGCTCCTACACACTTTATTTTCCACAATCCACCTCTATCTTGCCCTTTACCTTAAATTGTAAGCTTTACCTACAAAACTTATTGCCTTCAACACCCTCCAGTTTTCAATAAGCACGTTTATACCTCTTCTCTTGACACACCTTTCCACCAACAACATTATTTGGTTTTCTCTAAGCAACGAGATCAACATTATAATGAAGTATCTTCAGCTACCTCACTTCCTAGCTTTGTCTTGCTAGACTGCAAGACTAAATGAAAGGATTAGGGCCTGGTTAGAATACTGTGTAAGTATGCCATATATATGAATTTAAAATTATTTTTAAAGTCTTCAAATCTGTATTTCTCAGAAGCATTAAGATCTGTTTTACGAAATAAATCTTTTTAGCATGTAACATACAAGTGGGGTTTTTTACACTAAATTGGTAGCTTGACTAGATGCTGAGAATCCGTCAGTAACAGGTTGGATTTGGATGACATGTATTTGCTACAGAAGTGAAAACAGCATTTCTGAAACATCTAGAGAAGCTTGAGTAGTTACCACACATATTAACTATTACTACTCATAATTTCAACTACAAGAATGAAAGATTTCAGTGCTCCCTATGCTATTTCAGTGCAAAATTCACCAGGATGATTTGGCTTAAATCAATTTCAGCACCAGTTTAAATGGAGATATCTGATTTAACATGCTGGATGCTACCTCACACCCATGTATTGCTCAGCCCCTCTAGCTCCAGTCCCATCAGCTAACAGTGCAGCTGTGGGAAAGGCAAATTGCTCAAGGTAGAGCTGTAAGAGATAATTTGAAAATATCCCAAGAAATACCTGTAGTCATTAGCGTAGACCAAACTTAGATAACACTACATGACAATCCATTTTACACAATTTACAAAAATTATTATTATTATTTTTTAAATATGTTACTTCAAGTCTAAATTCATTAGCCTACCTTGCCCTGGCAACTATTTACACAGCCTTTAGCAGTGACACCTTTAATGATGCACTTTGTTCCTACAGTTATTTCTTCGTACTCCAGTGTCAATCCACTAATAAAACACATAGAAAACAAAACACAATCAATTTAAAAACAAACACAGTGTTCTGATATACAAGATATATTCAGATATTCTTATGGAAATAGAAGCAAAAATGCCAGGTAATTAATGTGAAAAGTATCCAGTATATCACTCAGACAAAATCCAAAGAATTACTATATTAATGTTACATGAAGAAACAACAGGGGAAAAAAAGAAAAAAAAAAAAAAAAAGAAAAAAAAAAAGATGCTTGAATTACCTAGCTTCAAGAACTGGTTTAATGACAGTTGTCAGCTGTGTTGCATGACCAAATTCATCCTGTAATTCCAAAGGAATATTAAAAGGCACTCCAACTCGAAAAGGAAGGTCCAAAAGACCCACTGAAAATTTCTCTGGTTTGCCCTCTAAGAGAAAAGAATAATACATTTTTAGGAGGAATTATGTATGTTCCTTGGCTTTTCCTTAACTGAGGCTGCAATTAAGACAAGAGGCAGTCAGCCTCAAAGTAAATATGCTGTTCAGAATACTGTTGTAAACAAAAATCATGGTTTACTGACTGATCCTCCTTTTTAAAAACTTACATTAACATAAAACCAACAGTTAAAACATAATAGCAGTAGACTGCAGTATAAAAAACATAACAGTAGAGCCAAAACTTGCAAAGTACTTAGAACATCAATACAGCACCTGAAAGTTCCTTGTGGACAGCTTTTCTTAAACATTTAATTGCTTTAACTCTGTAAAAATAAAATCATTCATGCAACAAAACATTTTTGTTCTACAACTATCCCAAATTTGAGAGATAAAGATAAGTAATGATGAGTATTTGAAAAAGAAATTAGTGCATCCTTCCTGTGAAATCAGTCCCTGTTAGACTGCCTTTGATTAGGCACTAAAAAATGAGACCAGTAATGAATATGGGAGCTTGCAAATCAGTAATGTTTCGTGCACTCAAGCTGTCTTGGCCAAGTGGCTTTTGAAAAAATAAGCTATACAGTGCTGAGCTAAATGGTAGATAAATAAACTATCAAATTATTTTTGATTCAAATTAACACCCGCTTTCAATACGTACAGGTGTAATTATTGGGCAGCTTCTTTGCACAAGAGATGTGAAACTCATGGGGGGAGGGAAAACGTTATCTTTTATTGGCCAAAATTATTTTAACAGTTACAGCAACAGAAAGACCTCAACCTTTCAGTGTTTACAATTTTATTTACAAGTGAATGATAAAACTGTAAAATGATTTGACAAAATAACAGTAAAAGAAGTTCTGCACTGTCCAAGTGAATAACTACCAAAAGAATGTGTCTGAATTTAAAACAAAAACTTACAGATTAATTTAGGAAGTTTGGTTTTAACTGAATTTACAACAAACTTTTTAGCTTACCAAGAAGAACTCTAAACACTGAAAAGCAATGTGCTGTTAGAGAAATAAAATAATTTGTTTTTCATACAAAAACACTGTTGATTTCAGTTTAGATTTGAATTCTTCTTTCCTGGATTTTTAGAATCTACATATATAAAGGTCACACAAATGTTAATATTTTGTAATAACGAGTGTGAGAATTTATGGCTGCCTCTCAGACAACACAAAACTGCAAAAACAAGGACTTGAAATATTCACTTTTCAAGACTGAAGATATTAAATCAAATTATCTTCTGACTAGATAAAAAAGCAGTAACAGATAGCAAAAGTTGGTTTCAGTACCCCTTGTGTTAAAAGTAACAAACTACTAATTTACTAGATTTTTAGACTGTATATTCATTTCCGAGGAGATCTGTTCATTTCAACTCCTATGGCCAAACGAACCTTTAATTGAAGGCTGCCATGCTGGGGAATGCCACAGTAATATTGAAAAAGAATTTTTAAAATTCAGAATGTAACTTTGCAACTTTGTAACTTTGGCAAAAATATTCTCTTTTAGCTTTGATAAACAGAGACAAAGAAGGAGCAGACAAGATTCATTTATGTATTCATTCAAAGAAGAGATTTTTTCTTTCCTTTTATTTTCTTGGAACTTCACAGAAGTGTCTTGATACTTCAATGCCAAGTTTTCAGACTAATGTTTAAATAATTACTCTTTTCAAGTAATGTTAAATATTTTTTCTGTATTATCATACAATAACACCTCTTTCTTCTCTGCCAACAATACCTTTATAGAAGCTTTCAGAAGAATATGCTACAAAGAACTCTTTTTTGCCTAAAGGGTTTGCATTCCAAACCTCTATTTTTGTGGAAAAAATAGAAGGCTACCAAAAGCATCTATTTTTTCTTGATCTTCCAGAAGCAGATGCTAGCTCTAGCTCCCAAACTTGTCATGAAAATATCCATTTTAATATTAAATGCAATAATTGGTGGTTAGCAACAACTAAAACATCAGTATGCTATCAACATTATTCTCATACCAAAACACAGTACTAAAGCAGTTACTAGTAAGAAAATTAACTCTATCTCTCCCCATCCCCCTGCAGATAAAACTCACAGAATGTTTGAGGTTGGAAGGGTTCCATGAAGTCATCTTGTCCAACCCCCCTGGCTCTAAGCAGGGCCACCTAGCTGCTCAGGAACTTGCCCAGACAGCTTTTGAATATCCCCAAGAATGGAGACTTCACAACCTCTTGGACAATCTGTGCCAGTGCTCAGTCACCTCTATAGCCAAAAGTGTTTCCTGATGTTCAGAGGGAACCTCTGTGTTTCAGGTTGTGTCCGTGCCTCTGGTCCTGTCACTGGGCACCACTGAAAAGAGCCTGGCACCACCTTCTTCCTTTAGGTATTTATCGACATTGATAAGATCCCCATGAATCTTCTCTTCTCCAGGCAGAGCAGCCCCAGCTCTCCCAGCCTTTCTTCACACGAGATATGCTCCAGTTCCTTCATCATCTTCATGGCCCTCCAGTATGTCTATGTCTCTGTGTTGTAATGTAATGTGCCCACAACTGAACACAATTCTCCAGTTGTGGCCTCATCAGTGCTAAGCAGAGAGGAAGGATCACCTCCCTCAACCTGCTGGCAACACTCCTAATGCAGCCCAAGATGCTGTTGCCTTTCTTTGCAGCAAGAGCACATTATTCACTCATGTTCACCCTGTTGTCCACAACGCTTTCTTGGGCCACTTTTCTGTCCAGCAACCTTATCCCATGGAACTCCACCAGGCAGGTCTTTGAGGAGGCCAAAATCTTCTCTCCTGAAGTTGGGTTGTGAGCTTCCTTTTTGCCCTCCTTCTTCCTTTCATGATCCTGAACTCTACTATCTCATGGTCATAGAAGGCAAGGCTGCCTTCAACCTTCATATCTCCAACGAGTCCCTCCCTGTTTGTATGAGGTCCACCAGAGCACCTCTCCTTATTGGTTCCTCTATCAATTGAATCAGGAAGTTGTTGCTGATGCACTCCAGGAACCTCCTGGATTGCTTATGCCCTGCTGTGCTGTCCTTCCAGCAGATATTGGGGTGGTTGAAGTTCCCCACAAAGACCAAAGTCTATGAACATGACGCTGCTTCTGGCTGTCTGTAAAAGGCCTTGTCCATTTGTTCTCCTTGTTCAGGTGGACTATAGCAGACACCCACTACAGTGTTATCCATACTGGTTTGCTCTTTAATTCTCACTCATAAGATCTCAGTTAGCTCATCATCCACCCCCAGGCAGAGCTCCATGCATTCCACCCGTTCTCTCACAGAAAGAGTAACTTCACCTCCTTGTCTTCCTGGCCTGTTTTTCCCAAAGAGCCTATATCCACTGCGACATTCCAGTCATGTGAACCACCTCACCACATTGTCACGATTCTAGCAAGATCATAGCCCTGCTGTCTCTAACTCATCATGTTTATTCCCCATGCTGCATGCACTAGTGTACATGCAGTTCAGACAGGCATCAAAGCTTGCTGATTTCCCAGCAGAGGTTCTGGGGACTTGTCCATAATGGTGCCTTTGTAGGCATTTCCTTGCACACATGCAAATACTGGAGATGAGTCCACTTCAGCCCCATTTTGTTGATTTTGTGATTCACATCACTTCAGGCCCTTTGCTCATCAACCATGTCCATCACTCCCTCATAGGGCTGATGGTAACTCTCTTCCTCCCCTGTCCTTCCTTGTTCAATTTTGGTTTAGTTTTTGCTACTTCAGAAAAGTGCGAAGTCTCAGCATGGCAAAAGTGCTGAACAAAACTTTTCCCTCTGAACTGGAAACTGAGAGCCAGAGACCAAGAGAAGATCTATTTTTTTAATGCAAACAAGTTAAGCCACAAATTTTTGGATTACTATTTACAAGCACACTTACATAAAAGGATGAGTCTTGGTGATAAGACCGAAAACGGGCTGTATAATCCACAGTTAGGATGTATTTTTGCAAATTAATTTAGCAAGTAAATAACTACAGATTTTCTTTAAGATTAATTATGATGTACAGAATCAAAAGTAGATTTCTGTTTTTAATCCTATGAAATCTTATGTACAGATAACATATTGTTCCTTTATAATTTAAAATCAAATTGTGGTCCATATTTCTGGACAGAAAGAGTAACTTCAAACTAGTCTAACATCTTTAGCCTTTTTCATAAATATATGCCTATTTTCCCCAGAAATGAAGTCTTTTTAGCAAAAAGAAATAAAACGTCTTCAGAGAAAGGCTTGTAAACAAAAACTAACGGGCCACTAATAGATAAATGTACACAAGTAGATTAGGAAATAAAATGAGTATCTTAAGAGGATGAGAGAAACAACTAGCAAGGCTGTACTGGAAACATGATGTAACTGCACAGTCTTACAGTCTTGAACAATGTTATTAAGATCAGAATTCATGAATTTTCTTGGTAAGATATGATCAGTCACATGCTATTTTAGGCCACATACATACATACCAGAGTGTATGGTAAGAGAGAGTAACATCAGATATATTCAGCAGTTTTATTTATATTCTGGTATTCCAGCAGGTATTTTCTGATGGTTAATCCAAAGATACACACCCATTGTAACTGAATGAGAATTTAGTTTTGCATATGGTTCTTCTTCTAATTAAAAAAAGGAGACTTCAGTCTCAACAAACATATTTTAAATGCATAGCCTGTTTTTGAATGAGTTTCTCTCTGAGGTTTATGCATGGAAGTTGGCCTAATGAATAGTAGTTTTATGAAAGAATATTTATGTCAAAGCATAAGAGAAAAGGGTGATTCTAATTAAGTAAAAAATTACTTTTATTAAGTACATTTAGGAAAGTTCACATCAGGGAAAAGCTTTTGATTCCATCAACACTTTACTTTTTTGTAAAACTGACTGTATAGCAGAGGCAACACATGACAGGTGAGATCAAAATCTACCAGACAAAAAATTGTTTTTTCCTGAATTTATGTCATATCTGACATGCAAATGCTACTTTTCAGTACTGAAATCTGCCTCTCAACTAAAACAGTTATAATTTTGACTTATAATGAATCAAACAGAAATACGAAAAGTAAAAGAAAATTGTCATGACCGGAATTCTTACCTATAATAGTAAATTTAAATATTTTAGATGGTAGAGGCCTCCCTGCATAAGTGTCTGCGTTACTTTCATTCAATACTACTTGTAGTTTCAAAGTGTAGTTCCCAAGTTTCTGAAGATTTTCTAAGCAGAAATACAAATACAATTAGAAAACAAAAAAGCAAAATTAGAAATAAACTGAAAATATTGTATATGAACTTACCCATTTTTTTAAACCAATATGGCCATTTTCCTCCATGCTGACTGATATGGGAAATTATTTCTTTATTTCCAGTAGGTGCTGAAAAAACAAGCAATTAGCTACATATATTTGGATTTTACACCATAATTCTTATTTTTTTTCAATTATTACTATCACTTCTTATTAAGTATTACTATAACTTCTAAATCTAATACATACAAATTCAGTTTCACAATTAATCATGATCACAGCTAAAAAAATGAATTCTCAATCTAACTTCATTTTAATTAAAAATTGCTAGCCTCAGACACATTAAACTGAAAGCAGCAAGTCTGTAAAGTTGAATTTTATTAGCTCTTCGATTATATGTTCCTCATTATGTCTGAGCAGATGTAGGCTGCCCATTGCACACAGGCAGCGGATCAACTTGATAAATGACTATAGCAAATTAGCTTAAATGGGAGCAACGGTAAAAATGAGCAGTTGACTGAATGTATAATCAAGGAAAAAAGAACATTCCTTATTTGCCTCAAATGAGTGTATATCTGTCTTTATAAACACTTCTGCAGCATTAAGACACATCCAAAAAGAGACCACATTGACACTTTGAGGCAATTTTTTAGTGACTGATTCTATAAACATAGAATAACATTTATTGTTTGAAACTTCAAGAGGCATTAATATATTTGTTTTTCAAAATATAATTTAGAATAAATACAGAACGTGACTGCAGTAAGACTCCACAGAATAAAAAGAAATGCAGTAAAAGATACACATTATTTTATAGCTAAGCACAACTGTTTCAGATCCTGTTCTTGCAGCAAATTGCATACATAAGATAAAGTAACAGCTGTCAATTTTCTTAGGTGTATTTCTTTGAATGTGTGATTCTGGAAGTATTGGGTTATTAAAACAAAGTTTGGTGGTGTTTTGTAGTAAGAGCTAATTCAGTTTTCTGTATCGGGTTTTTTAACAGAACTTCTCGAGTGATGGTTTCCTATTGCAGTGTAAACTGCCATCAATTAAACTGAAAGTTTAAGGTATAAAGACTCAGTTAAATATACTGAAATACTTACAATGTAAAATAACTTTGAGTTCAACAAGAAGTTTCTTTGAACCTCCATGGCTTGTACCTGGAAGTTTCTGCATTGCTTCTCCTTTTTTATTCAAAATTTCTATTCTTAACGCTCCTGTATTTAAAAGGAAAAATGATGAACTTTTAAAATATGCTGTGTCTTATAAGTGATTGAAGATTTCTGAATACTTGGGGTTTTTTAAATAAGAGTACAAAATATATTTTTAATTTGACATTTTACTTTTTAGTATTTAGAAGAAAAAAATAATATACCTATTGGTGTACCAGCAAATCTTGTTTCATTTGGTATTAACTCATCTCCTTCAGGCCATGTTACTGATAATTTGTCAGGAAGTCTAGTGAAAAAAAAAGAATGAATAGTTTTTCTGTTAGTTAAAAAACAGGGTAATTTATCTACAGTATAATACACACGAAGCTAAAAAAAAACCCCAACAAACCCTTAAATATTTCTTCTTAGTTTAGAGTTCTAGTTTTTTTTTTTGTTTCTCCTGAAATAGCTAACTGCTTTCCCATTTGGGAATAAAAGTGAACTTTTTTTTGGTTCCTGAAGAAGTACTAAAACTGTTAGTAGGATCTCCACAAGTTAATAATTAAAAATTAGAGCTTACCTTGCCATTTCATCCTCTATGTATTTTTTAACAGCTTTATCAGACACTGTTCTGTCAAGTTTTGAGATTGGAATAGTTTTCATTTCAGCATACAATGCCTGAGGTTCCTGAAAAAAAATTGAGTGCAGTTATGAACAGCCATATTATAATACATCAGAGAAGAAATACCTCCCTATCAAGGGACTAGACAAGTAGGAATAGACATAATGCAATATGCTAACAAATACTACGTGGTGACACCACAAGACACTGTTCTAAAATTTGCTGAAAGCACCAGGGTTAAGAATGGATGCACAACGTACTATTGATAGTAACTGTGATACTCTATTTCATATGCAAATTTAAGTAAATCAGATCACTGATAACGAATAATAATTTTAATATATTTACACTAAAACTAATGTAACCAAGTAGTTTATTTCTAGATTGCTGAATCTCAAAAAATACCATAATATTAAACAGTTATTTAAAAGTACTTTATCTAAGTCTGACCCAAGATTATGTTTGAAGAGTCCACAGGCACACTAGACACACGAATCCTTTTTATATTTGTCTTACCAAAGCAATTTGAACCTCTCCTCCAGTGGCAAATATATCCCCATCATGGTCTCCATACAAAAAAAATTTCTCAATAGTTCCATAGAATATTGGAAGAGTCTTAACAGTTTTCACCTGTAAAGAGAAGACAACAATTACTGTCAATAAATTACTTCTGCATCAAATGTACAGTATTTGCCTTTTATAGGGTTCAAATGCTCTACTACAAAACAAACGAACAAAACCCCAACATCAGTGAACAACTATTTTACCAGCTGTCCAGTTTTGTATGTCTTCCCATCCCACTCTATTGCAGCATATATTGTCCAAGGGCTCTGCATTCTTTTGGATGGTAAATCACTACGTGTAGTTATTCCTTTAAAAACTGTGAATTTTATCTGTTTGTCATATTTTTCATGACAGTCTTTGAGCCACAAAGCAAATTCTCTATCAATTTTCATTCGCTGCTCCTACAAAGAAATTACAAAATAAACACGTATCATTAATGTATTACAAAATTTAAATCTGACAACTTCAGAAATATGAACAATTATAAAAGCACAGTGATACTGTACTTAAAAAAATGGATTCTTTAGCTTGGAAACACTACAAAATTCTAGGAAAGCTATAATTCAAGACAGAAAAAGTGTTTACCCCAGCACCCATATTCCTCTATGAAAAGTGTCTTTCCACAAAAACTGTAATATAACAACTAGATAAAGTAATTGTTTAAGAAAATAAAAGGAAAAAGACTAAATTTTATTTTTTCAGATTTAAAGAGTCAGCTTTACTATTCACTAAAACGATAGAAGGATTTGCGTTGGAAGGGACCTTTAAAAGTCATCTAGTCCAACTTCTCTGCAGTACACCAGGTTGCTCAGAGCCCCATCCAGCCTGGCTTTGAACGCTTCCAGGGATGGGACTTCAACAACCTCTCTGGGCAACCTGTTCCAGTGTTTCACCACCCTCACTGTAAAAAAATTCTTCCTTATATCTACTCTAAATCTACCCTCTATTAATTTAAAACCATTATCCCTTGTCCTATTGCTACAGGCCCTGCTAAAAAGTTTGTCCCCATCTCACTTATAGGCCCCCTTTAAGTACTGAATGGCCAAAAAAACCCCACCACACCCCAACACAAAAGCCCCCCCAAAACCTGACAGAAGTGTCTGCTACAAAGTCCTGCAAAAATGCGCAAGGTGAAAGTTCTTCAGAAACCAGGCAATATTCAGTCACAAACAAATGACCAGTGAGTAAAGGTTTCCGTATCAAATGCATTAAACTTTGCCAAGAAGAAACACTTAACAGAATAAAATGATTACCTGTCCATTGAAGATTCTCGTAAACAGAGTATTCTTATCTTTTAACTTCAGCTCCAGATCCATGAAAGTGAGTTTGTTTGTGCTGACCTGGAACTTGTCATTGGTAAATAACACACCAGAAATTCTGTTGTAGCATTCAATTGGTGCTAATCCTCTCTTCTTTGGAGGAGCGCACCAGTCAAAACTTAAACAAAAGTAGAAAGATATTAAAAACATTTTTTATAGAGTTTTATATTATAGAAACAGACTGGTTTACATTGTAGAAACAGATGATCACTTACTCTTCCACAGTTGTGTATGGTATTAATCTTCCATTCCAAAAGCATTCAAAAATAGGCCTTTTTCCTCTGGCACCCTTGTCTACTATGAAGCAGTCGTCATCATCGTCATCATCATTTAATTCTTGATTAAAAAGAAGACAGTCAGTCAATAAATTTCTTTAAAAACTAATATAATATCAAAAAAGAGAGCAGTCTAAATTAAGGATTAAGCTATACGTATTAATTTAGGCACAGTAGTAGTACACACTATACCAAGCTAGGTATATGCAATATCAGGAATCTTTTTTTTCTGTTTCAGAAATACCAAGCAGAAAAACTAAGGAAAGCTAAGGAAAAATTTTAAACAGGGATTAAATAATATTACTAAATCTACGAAATTTGCAGGTTTCAATCTTGATTAAATATTACTTTTTCCTCTTAGTTTCAACAGAGGATTTTCTAATATAATAAAATCTTGTCACAATTAAACTCAAGATTAGTTTTGTTAAAAAAAAAAATAAAAAATCACCAACACAAATTATTTTAAAACTCTAGCATCTGAAAACTCATCAAGACTGGATAAAACAAATTCTAAATTAAGGACTTAGACTACATGTTGTTCTCTGCAGTATTCCAATGTAAAAAATCTCTCCAATCAAACTGCTATTGTTTTATTACTTTCTCAGAGCAAAGATCTAACAGTCAGGAAAGTGGAAATGTTTCTATCAGTTTGAAATCAGATGGTGTTATATCAAAGATTATGTTTACATGAACAACAGCAAATTTGTTCACAGGATTTGTTAATCCAGAAGAATGCAAACTTTTCTGTTCTGCCACAACTCAAATTAGATAATAATTTACACTTCAATTTATGTTGTTCTAGTTTCTATTTCATTAAAACATTTAGAGCAGTAGGACTGACTACAACAGTACTGATAAGCAGCAAATGGTATCACTCACTTGATGGAAAACATGGATCATCAGGGTATGTCTCTTTATCATACAGGAAGGGATGATATCGGATGATGCCTTCCACTATACCATCTCCTTCAACAAGTGCCTTAAACTCAAAACTATCTGCTGCAGTATTTATATACAATGTTTGCATGTCATCTTTGATCTCCCTAAGATTGACAATCTTCGGTACTTTTCCTTTTTCAAACATTGAAATCTGGAAAAAAATAAAACAAGTTGATTTTCCTTCGACCAAAAATTGTACAATAATTAGCATTTGTGACATTTATCTTAACTGTCAGCAAAATGCATTGGTTCCTATGCTGCAGCGATAAATAGTATTACTTTTTAAAAATTAAATCACATATCTTAAAATGCTGCTGTAGTTCACAATGCATGATTAGAGAGAAACAGGCATAATACGAAACAACTTGTCATAAAAGAAGAATTTTGACTAAGAATAAAATCTCTTACCTGAATGTCGATGTTGTTGAAAGGGCTTATGTCTTTTATTATAGCATTAGTTTCATTTCCTTTTGGTCCATGTATATAATAGTGATAGATATGTCTGAAAAACATTTTAAACAAAAAATAAATCTCAAAAAGTGAAATTAAAAAATTGCATATTTTAATTTTCAAAAATCAAGACAAACTCATATTTTTGTTAAAATGTAACTAGTTCATTGCATTGTTATAAATTGACACCATGAGAAAATGTATACCTGGTACAGAAGATTTACTAAAGGGAGTGAATCCTTTCACACTTTTCAACCTTCAAGTCCTTCATCCATAATCATATTAGGATCAATTTTTTGATAAAATAATTAGAAATATTACAAATCAGAAAATAATACATAACAGAAAAACTTGTGATTGTTACATGGTTACAGATCCTTTACATCAAAGTGCAAACTAATAGAACTACTGTAATTTGTTCTGCACTCTGGAGATTAGAAAGAACTAGAGCTAAAAAGCTTCCGACACATTGTTTCTGGTATCAGTTTGGTATTGATCA